TCTAATTGGTCGAATTCAGCAAAAATTAGAGAGGCGGTCGTTTGTATGATTTAGTGTTACACAACCTAAAATGAAAAGGTTCAAAAAATATAATAAGAAAAAGAATTTTAATAAAAAAAAATATAATTTATTCACGTTTTTTTTTTCTAAACCACAAAATGATTAACACTGTATAAAAAATTTTATAACATAAAAAATCTATCAAAAAAAAAAAAAAAAACGCACCGATTATCCAACGAACTTAAGACAGAATAGATTAAGAACATAAGCAGTAAAACATGCAAAGAAAGCAAAAGAAAAAAAAAAGAAAACAAATTTAAAAACTCAATAATCAACTAAAACCCCAATTATTTGATGGCTAAGAGCAATAGACCATATCAGCAGGCAATCAATAAAATTTACTATATAATTCACACACTCACAAAATAAAATGAAAACAACAACAACAACAACAACAACAGAAATAGAATGTATATAAATGCAGTAAATAATTAGCGAATTCAACAAAGAAATCGCATAGTGACAGCAGTGTCTTCCGGCTTTAGTGCAAGGTGGCGGCGATTAAGCCCTTTCGGGACCCATAAAAGTAAAAAGCAAGCAGAACAGACATACGTAATTCAGCTGATTAACCCTTTTTTGTCAATTGTTTGCTGTTTTCGATTCTTCAGCATTGTCATTGTTAAGCCTTGCCTTACAAAAGTATTTATTGCTTTTTCGATGAACTCAATAAAACGTGAATTGTCCTAAAGCAAAAACAGAAATTCTCGCGACTAATCTCATGCACAGTTTATAAAGGTAATTAGTAAGTAACGGGTTGGTAGAAACATATATCCCTCTTCTTTTTTTCTTTATTAGCGCCGGCACCGTTATTTGCGATTATATCCGAATCAATAAAAGCGTTACTTTTCTGCGCTGTTTGGCGCCAGTTGGGAATACCAAGCGAAACCAGGTCGCTCTCGAATTGGTCTTCATCTGGTCCTCATCTTCCACCAGCTGGTACTACATCGAATACTTTCAAAGCTGGCATGCGCTTTCATCCATTCGTCGAATGATGATGACCTAACCATTCCTCATTCGCTGAATTATGTCAATATCTTCCTTTAACTCGTACAGCTAATCGTTCCATCGCCTACGGTATTCGAGCTGTTGCCAATACGCAAAGGACCATAGATTGTTCACAAAACTTTTCTCCCGAAGACTCTTAAAACAGACTCATCAGATGTTGATATCGTACACGCTTCTGCGCCATATATAGGGTGAATTTTTAGCTATTCTTTCTTTTTGGCAACACTGATTTAAACAGCTGACGCACGTTTCGTGTTTTGTATCACTGTCAAACATCTTCAGTTTGGTCTATAATTTAACCATAAATCGTCTTACAAACGAATAACACTTTCAAATTATTGAATTCTATTATCAAAATGCGTGATCTCTTAAGGAAGTTCATCGCGGGCTTCTTCCATTTCAGCGACGAAGCTCAGTTTTTGGCTTAATGGGTGCGTAAATAACCAGTGAAGATCAGCCAGAAGCATTGCAAGAGCTACCAATGCATCTAGAAAAAGTCACCAAACTGGTGCGGTTTATAGGCTGGTGACATCATTGGACCGCACTTCTTCAAAGATGATGCGCATCGTAACGTAACTGTGAATGGTGAGCGCTACCGTGAGACGATGTCAAACTTTTTTTTGCCCCAAATGCAAGAGCTTGAATTGCATGACATGTGGTTTCAACAAGACGGTGCCACATGCCACACAGCCAACACATAACAATGGACTTATTTAGGGGCGAGTTCAGTGAACATTTTATTTCACGTTTGGGACCGGTCAATTGGCGGCCTAGGTCGTCCAATTTAACGCCTTTAGACTATTTTTTGTTAGGTTATGTTGAATTTAATGTCTATACAGACAAGCCCGCTTCAATTGACGCATTGAAAGACAACATTGAAGCATTTATTCGTGAGATACCGGCCGAAATGTTGGAAAGAGTATACGAAAATTGGACTAAGCGGATTAAATTATATGGATCAAACTAACGATTAAACTAAAGGCTTAATGCATTTTTTTGCTCTTAAAAAATCATCATTTAGTAGGGCGGGTATGATAAGCGACTTGTTTGTTCGTCAAGAGAGGACTTTACTTTACAATTGTCTACTCAATCCTACTCAGTGAAAAATAGCACCTGTAGGTAAGCCTGAATCTGCGTTGGATTTCAAGGCTTTTTTAACCAACTAATTTTCAAAAAAATATTAAAAAAACACACTTTTTGTTGTTTAATTGAAAATATTTAGATTTTTATTATTTTTTCAAGATGATATCGGGCAAGTGTATACCCGAAACTTTTACCGCGCAATGTGCCCCTTTTTCAATAATTACCAATGTTTCAACTGATAAGGCGATTATTTTTTAACGAATATTGACATTATGTTCGTCGAGGGTCTTTAGCTTGTTGACATAAATCTTTGACTTCAAGTAGCCGCAGACACAGGAAGTGCGACGGTGTTGAGTCTGTAGCACGAGGAGCTGTCTGAGGTGTTGCGTCGTCTTGTTGTAACCAGTAGTGTTTCAAGCCAATTTCACGAATTGGTTCGTCCCACAAAACCGGTTACCTACTAAAAGGAATTTATTAATTATATGTTATATTTAATTGTTATAGATATGCAAATACATATATATGTTTATCATTAACTTATTAACTCTGGACTATTATTATTATTATCTATTATTAATGCTCTTGTTTTCGTTTTTTTTTTTTCTTTTTGCAACAAATGCAAACGTGTATATGTAAATAATATCAGGCGAAATGATTGATGAACTTGCTTGAGAATAAAGACAAATTCTGTGCACTTATATACATACCTATATGTTTAGCAATTGACATAATTTTTGGCAATAATAACGAAAGTTAAAAGCGAAATTGTGTTGACTATGGCATAATAAGATAAATACTGAATACTTCAATATTTCAAACATATTTAATAAATATTATTGTAAATTTAAGTAATAGAAATAATTCTTTAGTCGGTTAATCTCATCCACTTAACTTGGCCAGTCTGAGAATGCTCGCCTTAAAGTTGCTTGCACTTGCAGGACGATTTATGTAGGTCAATATGATAACTCGTTAATCTTGCCTCCCGTTCATAGCAACAAGCTACATTTGACGTTTGTGCAGTTGAGTTAATACCATATCTGTCCATAGAGTCGTTGAGTCTGACCGTCATGCGAGCACTATTTCGTTTGCTTAAAAAAAACAGTTTAGAACCACTTGAGACACAACAAAGCTCGATGTATGGCTGGCACATGAGTAAATAGGTGAAAACCTCATCGACCTAATTGCTACTGAATCCTAACAAAATGGTCCCATTTCTACAGCGAATCGTGACAGTGAGTCGGTACAAACGTGCTGCAAGCCAGAATTGTCGCCCGAGAAGTTTTTGATATGTGTTTGGTTTGATTGGCAAGGAATATATCATTCACTATGAGTTGCTCTCCAACGGGCAAACTCTCTATACGGATCGATCTGTAGCGTCAGCAATTCGACCGTTTGAAGAAAGCAATCGTCAAGCGACGGCTAGCTATGACGAAAAAGAGACAACCTCAGACCACAAACATGTATAGTGACTCGTCAGGAGCTCTGCGAGCTCGGTTGGATAGGTCTTATGCAACCACCTAGTAGTCCGTTCCTCGCAACAAGTGATTACTTTACGATCTGTACCTGTTTATTGCGAATGAGTAGTCTGTGCAAGACGATTACACCAATTTTTCACCCATCGGTGCAAGGGTTTCTATGAAAGAGCAAAAAGGTATTCTGCAAACCGGTATATATGTATTTAAGTTGGGCTTTACAAGCGCTGAAACAATTTTCGGCCGCGCTCTTACTCCAATTTGTGTTATACGTTTTGATGTTTTTCCAACAAATGTAAGGAACTACAGTTTATTCAAGGCCGCCTTCGAACGACTGTTGGTTTTTTTTTTTATGAGAATTTTTTTATTTCATATCAGAAATACACTCGGAGAGCTTGGAGAGGCGACTGCAATTGGAAAATTTAACTTAATTATTTATTTAAGTAGGATTTGAACACAGGCCTTACCGAATGACAGCACGCAACTCTAAACACTCGGCTACTGCGGCAAGTAAAGCCTATAATTTAATACAAAAATAATGGATTACTTTTTACTTGACGTAATATTTTTAGTTGGAATTTCAAAGGACTTGAAATCACTACGAAATCTCTACAAAAAACTACTCCAACAAGGATAACAGTTTTACTCGTTTTTACTTCAATTTTCATCCATTGTACCTGGTCACACACACACACCCATATATATTATATGTATGTATGTATGTATGTACGTATGTCCGCCAATACGAATTGCTTGTCGATAATCCACTTAGGATCAATAAACGCAAACCAGCGGTCACTACATACAAAATATTTGTTTGGCTTTATTATTAATTTGGTTGTACTCGTTATTTGTTATTGTTGCTGCAATTTGTTTTGTTTTTAGTTTATTGCCACTGACGTTTATTGGGTGGTTGTTAAGTTGTTTTTTTTTTTTTNTTTTTTTTGTTTTTTCAATGCATTGGCATCAGCATAAGCTTGACTAACTTTTTTTCCACAAAAATCTATTTATTCGTTCGGATTACTTTTCCGTTTGTTTTGCGTTACTTATTAATTTGCACTCTCTCGCTCGTACGTTGGTTCGTTGGTTCGTTGATTCGTTGATACGTTCGTAACAGTGACTTCTTGCGTGTTTTATTGCAACTTATGTTAGGTTACGCTTGTTGTGCTCGATTTTTTTTTCTTCTTTTTTTATTTAATTTTTTTTTATTTTTATTTTATTGCTTTTTACCTTTTTATTGCTTTAGCACTTTGGTGCATTGTTTTCTGTTTTGATTTTGTCTTTGCTGTATGAAGTTTTATTTAATTTTTTTTTTATTTACTTTTCTTTTCCATTTTTTGCTTTTGCACTTGATTTCATTACTTGACGTATCGCTGCGGCGTTCGCAGCTGTTTGGCGGTAATCGTTGCATTACCGTTGCGACAGTTGCTCGTGGCGCCTCAGACAGTGCAATACAAAATCCGGCGACGATTTCATTCCACCTACATACATAGTTCACCTGCCAATTGACGACGTTTGTGGTTTTCGCGCGCTGCAACACAGAGTGTACCGTTGTTAGTGTTGTGTTGAGGCAGTGCAAGCGGTTTTTTTGTGTTTAATACTGATAAATCATTTATGGTTTAAATGTGACAAAGTGTTTTGAGTATTTAATTTCTTCAATATAATCTTATCAGTGTGAAAAAATTTCGTTAAGCGAAGGGCAGCAGCGCGTTGCCGGCAAACGAAAGTTTCAAATACAATTGATTTGAGGTTTACTGACTATTCCGCTAGTTTGCGAAATTTTTTAGAATTTCTTTGGAATTATTCTTCTTTAATTTTGGTAAGTCGCCAAGTGATTGTCATTTGTCTGCGAAGTTTCTGTTGCCAAAGGTCAAACTGGAAAAAATTAAATTTTTCAATAAATTTTTATTTCCTTTTATTTCTTTATTTCGGTGGCCCTTAAGGAGTTCCATGAGTTCCACAGTTTAGAAAAATCGATTTTTTTTCTTATAGCCTTCATAATTTCCACAGCAGCTCGAAAATATTATACTAAATTTTTAATTCGCTCTGAATAAAAGTTCCGGAGATACAGCCGTGGACAGGCGTATGTTCAAAGCTTAGCACTTAGCACAGTTTAGTTTAGGTTGAACTGCCTGTTCCATAATTCCGATAATACATTTATAGTGAAGCCAGGCATGCGACATACAAACAAGCTGCACTGCTTCATGCTTTATTGTGTCTCTAGTGTAAATAAAATTGTTGTTATTTTCGTAAATTTAAGCAGTCGTTTCGATTGCCGATCGAAGATCCTGTAGACTTCTTGCACCAAGTAAGCGAAGCCTTTATCCAAAGAATGCTGGACATAAGCATATAACGTGCGCCAGTGTCTGTCTCCACACATTCACTTGCACTTGTGTGCCCAGTCAGAGCTATAATAAAGGCAAAAAAATAAGCAATATTCTACCAGCAGCCTAAAATCCGTCGTCTTTGCCGCTGCCAAAAACATCATAAGTTTGCATATAGGTTGGTCTGCTCAGTGCTTTAAATTTGAAACGAGTTTTTGTCGAAATTTTGTTTTCAAAGTCGTTTGTCAAAAGTTCTGGGAAACTACTCAATCGATTTTGGAGACGTTTTACACTTCGGAGAATAATTCACAAGGAGTTGGCTCAAAGGTTTTTTTTCCAATTAAAAATATTTGAAACAAAAAAATATAGAGTAAATTCCACACAAAAAAAAATGCCAAATAGCCAATTTCAACTTTTTTATCATATTTTTTCCTTTAAAATACTACATAACTCGTTTTTTACTTCGGTTGATCCTGTCGTGAGTTATGGCATCATTTGAAATGGCATTACAATGGCGGAGCTATGAATATTTCCGTTGAAAATTTCAGAATTTTTTTTTTTGCAATATCTACATATGTGTATCAAAGAAATAAAATAACATTTGATTTTTATATTAAAAAAATTGTTGAAAATATACCACGTTCCCTCCAAACAAATCCAAGTAACGCCTTGAACGCCTCAAACAGGCCGCCACTGATTCGCAAGGAAAGCAAAAAATTAAGAACAAATGAGGGCATGAAATGAATTGTTAATCAATTGTTATTGTTGTTTTAATCACAAAAATATTTCGCCAAGTCCTTTGCTGGGTAAAATATCTGAGTCGTTCCGGTATAAAGACCCGAACTGTCGCTGAAACTTTTGGATTCTAGTCGCCTCTTACGACAGGCAAGCCTTACCGCGGGTAAATACTTGAACCCCTAGCCCACAAGAGGGAATGATCCATCAACTGATTTCTGTTAGTGGAATATCTTATTAATCCTTTCAGAGTTTCATTTATTTATAATAAAAATTAAATCTTTACATCATATTGAAAGTATAATATTTTGGGGTTGCTAGTTGAACTTCTTTTCGAATTTCTGTTCAGACTATATTTCGTTGTTGTTTTCCCTACAAAAGCAAGTGATCTCATCTTTTTTTTTTTTTTTTTTTTTTTGAACAAGATAAAATTCATACTCTTGTGCCGCGGCTCATATGCGTTCGATTATTGTAGTAGGCTTTCATCCACTTCGAAGTTCCTTACTTTTTAAAGAAAAAAAGCAGAAAATTCAAATTTAATGAGGAAGGTTTGTTATCATTCAAAAGAACATTCTTTGGCATTTTTTTTTTTTTTTTTTTTTAAGATTATCTGTTTCAAATCTTGGTCGCGGCAACGTCTCAGGTGGTTGAGCTCAATTTTCTATGACTCGTTCGAGCATTTCGACTGGCTACATATCCCCACAGGATGTGATATCACACGATCCTGGTTGATCAATTTTGTGGCCCATAACGTGAAATTGTCTGTTCAACGAAGTTTTCTCCCAATAAATCCCTGCGATGTGTGAGAAGTGACGCCGTATTGTTGACACCAAATGTCGTCAAAATCAAGAGCTTCAATTTTAGCCATCAAAAAGTCGTAATTTTCCTAATAAATTTGACCGATTCGTGAATGTTGTTCAGGCCTAAGTCTTTCCATGATGAAATGCCACACAATACTGAACAAAAATAAAATGACCAGCTTGACACGGCTCATAACTCCCTGAGCTTGTTATGCCTGAAATGCGCTTATTCCTTCTTCCGTTCCTTCTTTTCCCAATTGGGCGTCAATTGTTGAAAACACTATGTGAAGACGGGTCCTTCACTAAAAGATACTTCCAACTTGGAATGCTTTAAGCCACCGTAATCACGGTATCTTAATACACTTACCTATATTATTGTACCATTCGAAACCACTCGGCACTCGTCAAGAAATTTCAAGTGTTCTGAGTGTATTTCTGACTTGAAATATATCGGAGGTGGCTTAGATCAAATCGTAAGTCCCTCCGATTGTTGGAAAAATAACGACGTATACCAGAAATTGGAGGAAAAGCTCGGTGTTCGTTAGGTGCGATGCCGGATGGACTTATTCGGGTCTTCCTCGATACTTTGCCGCACAGTAGCAATAGTATAGTCGGTGCGCACTATATGGTGCGTCTTAGGAACTGCATTATCCACTAGAGTAAACGTGGTGCGAAGTTAATCTTCGGTTGCTAGAATTACCAACTCTGCTGGGCGATTATGTCGACCGAATATTGTACGTTGCGCGCGAGCCAAGCCATTATTTTGGCAATAAATTTACACGATTTGCAAACGAAATTCCGGTATAGGTATGTTTGTTTTGAAATGACAAGCTTATCTAGAAAAAACACCCTTTATTAAATATGCTTTAATAAATAGAAAAAATTATAATTTTTATTGTAATATAAAAGCTGTTAATAGAGGTTATAAAATTTAAATTCCTCGCGGATTTGCACATGCGATAACTTTCCTGATCTGAAAAAAAGTAAAATCCAGTTAAAAATAAAAAATACATAATTTCTTCTAACATCTATTGTACGTATGGTCAGCTCATGAGCAGGGGAAATTATTGTGATTGTTTTTTTTTTTTTTTGCTTTGCAAATTTCCCGTGTGTTTCACTCACTCCACGTCAACGACGGATAAGAAAAAGGTGGCATCGGAAAGCGTGTAATTCGATATGGAAATGATAAAAATATGGAAAAAATGCGCTTTAAGAAAGAGAAAAAAATTGCCACTATTAAAGCGTGAAGCGAATGGATTTCATTCATTTGCTAAATGAAGGCAGGAATGTGTTGGAGGATGAACTACGTACCTTAGACTGCCTTACATGCTTACTTAAGTTGCCGTTAAAATTGAAAAATTATTTTAAATAAATTAATTCAATAATTCATGCATTAAGTAGACCGCCCAGGCATTTAAGGGTTTTTTTTTTAATTTTTTTAAATCCGGGTAAGTACATACCCTGCAGAAAATTGTTTTTTTTTTCAATTTCATAGTGAATAACTTTTGCAATTTTTGTTGCGTTTCCAGGAGGAAAAAAAAACTATTATTTTTGTGAATAATAAAATAATGAATTTTTATATGTAAAAAAATTTTATAGTATCTACTAATTAACACTTTTAACGATTATTATCATACAGCGCCATCTGCCAAAACAATTTTTACTTAAAAATAATCGCAAAACAGTTTTCAAACTAAATTTGCAATTCCAGATATTAATATTCCTACCAAAGTCTGTTGAAAGGTATTGATGAGTGCATAAGTTCGTGCCCGATTCCGCTGGATGCCGTTCGAATCGTTTGAGAGTGGCGCTCGTGAAAGAAATATATACATATTATATATCGTTGGAAAGGTGACAGTCCGAACTGTAAATCAAGCATAAAATAACTTCAGTTTGATTTGAGTCGCTTAGTGAAAAGACGCATGGAAGATGGACAACGAAAAAGATCATATGCGTCATATTATGTTATACGAATTCCGCAAAGGAAAAACAGTAGGCGCTGCAACTAAAGCTATTCGCGAAGTTTATTTGGACCGTGCTCCAGTACTCCGCACAGTAAAAAAAAATGGTTCGCAAAATTTCGTTCTGGAGATTTTAACCTCGAAACAGGCACACGAAAGGGCGGAACCGATGTCGAAAGGTGAATTGCATCCGATGAAGGTACTGCTGTGCATTTGGTGGGGTATCCGAGGCGTGATCTATTTTGAGCTCTTGCCAGCTGGAGAAACTATCACTGCCAACAAGTATTGTCAGCAATTGGTCGAATTGAAGAAAGCAATTGATGAAAAATGTCCGATTTTGGCCAATCGCAAAGGAGTTCTTTTCCATCATGACAATGCTAGGCCACATGTTGCAAAACCGACCCTGGCCAAACTGAAGGAGATGAATTGGGAAATCAAGCCGCATCCCTCATATTCACTCGACATGGCACCTTCTGATTATCATTTGTTTCGATCGCTGCAGAACAATTTGAATGGAAAAAAATTTAAAAATGTGGAAGACGTCAAAAACCACCTTGACACCTTTTTCAACGAGAAACCGCGGGATTTCTATGAATCAGGCATCCGTAAATTGGTTGAACGTTGGGAGTGGATCGCCGAACATGATGGCGAATACATAATTGATTAATAAAAGCGCTTTTTTCAAAAAATTTCAATTTTAGTTTGCATTTGAAATCGGGCACGAACTTATGCACTCATCCAATAATAACAGTTTTTTGGCCAACAAAAACGCTTAACCATGAAATTGAAATCCACTTTTGCGCTAAACTTCCGCTGTCAGACCTCGCACCGCCTACAAAGTACTCAAGCTGAAATGTATGCCGCAGAATTTCCTACTGACCCTTTTATCATTCATCTATTCCGTCGATGCGACAAAATTATCATAGTAAATCTACAATAATCGTATGCCTCAGCTTCGCATGTTTATCAATACCAGTCAATGAGGTCTTTCGGCTTAATTTTTTATGCAAATTGATTGTGATTTGTAGAAAAAAATCAATTAAAATATGAAACAAACCCGATTTAATAGCTGCGGGGTTGTCACTCAACCTGGCTGAGAATGATGGGCTCAGATCTTGCCGCCAAATTGACAATTTTCCGATTTTGATCAGCTTTCAATGTTCAAGTCGGATATGCAACAGCTGCGCTGCCGTGTTGGCTTTGAAGTGTTAATTCTGGGTGGGTTGTGCGTGTTAGCTGGAATGTTAAGTATTAAATGACTTTTCTACACTTTCCCCTATGGTCCTCCCACAATTTAAGTCGTATTGATGTTTTTTTTCTCACAAATAGTGGGACGAACTTCAGTCCGAAAGGGCTTCCGTAGGGCTCGTGAACTTTTCTGAGGAGTTCTGTTCTAGATTTTGAGCCGCCTATGCGCAATAATGCGAGTCTCTGGGCAGAGCTACCATTTTTAATGGCATCTTAACAAATGAAATGTGACAACTAGACTAAAAATTTGTGCAAACAATGAGATTTTTCCTCTCCGAGAGTTTGATTTGATTGATTGGGCATTTGAATACTCTCGCCACAATCATCAAATCCATATTTTTCATAAGGAAACCACCGTAAATGGGCTGGAACCGATGAAGTATCACATCAGGCGATTTGTTTGGTACCAAATTATGGCTAGGTCATGGCGTCCAGTTGGAAAAAATATGCCATCTCCGAAAGTATTTCATGCAGTGCTTGGAGATGAAAGGAGCGGGGAGAGAAATACCTTTACGCTTTTGGAACGAACAGATGAAGAAGAAGCATCAAAAAAGAAGAAACGACTGAAGGCATAACAATTAAGAATAAGAATAAGTTTGGAGAAGAAGTAGCCAATCATGTTATTCTACTAGAGATTTCGAGAATTTTAGTGCTTTGACTTAAATATCCATATATCTGCAGGTTTTTCTTTAATTTGGGCTGGCTTATACGTGGCGGGCCCCACAACCTCGCTAGGCGACAAAGTTTGAATTTTTTACTCATTTATACAGCGAGCCGCCTACTTCAAAGACCGTCGTCGGCACTTTTGGTGAACATATGCGAACCCTTAAACCGAATAAGTCAGGAAGTGGTTCCACTCAAGCTTCCTCTCTTTTAGCCATGACTCAAGGCTACACACGTGTCGGTTACCGCATTTTGCCCAAGGGCTGTCTCCGTTTGCTGAACGCAAGAGTTGGAATTGAGTATACCCCCCGCGACTGTAACTGCATACCCAGAAGCCTGACTGCAACTCAATGTTGTTAACTCTACTACGCCAGTAGAGAAGAGATCTCAGCTTACACAATATTTTAGTAGTTAGCAAAGCTTACTACAATTCGTAAGGCCAAAATTTTAAGAAGGACCCGGTGTGGTATCGATTTAGACAAGAGTTGAACTTTGACCCTGGAACATGAGTCCGACCCCGTGCCTCTGCTTTCGCCTTAGTTGGTAGCGGCTGCGAATTTTGAGCATAAATTCAGTATGTTTGCAAAAAATCACAGCAGAATCTTGAACTTAATGAAATAAAATAAAAAATAGAAAACTCAAATTTTGCATATTCTTTTTCGCTTCCTTTTCCGTAGCTGATAATTATTAATGAATTATCAAAAAAAAGTTCAACATTTCCCTATAATTCGGTGGCAACGACATAATAAATCAAACAAAAAGACACATGCAGACGCGGTGATAGTACGCTAAAGACTTCCCTTGCGACATGCACCGTTATCAGATAACAATAAAGCCATAAATTTGAAGGCAATCGGCGTCAATTAATTATATTCACATATATACGTGTACATACTTCTACATATGTATATGAACATATGAATAGTATATAAATTTTATTTTTTGTTTTATTCGAAAATTGTGCTCAGTAAAATGCATAAATATTTGAATTTTAATGCAAAAGTCAAAAAAATAGCTTCGAAAAACTAGAAAAAAATCTTAATCACCCATCCAGTACAAACGTTAGCTTCGCGCTGAGTTGTCTTAGCAACAAGCAGCAAAGCGTTGCATTACACGCGTTGCAGTCTCGTCTTAAAAGTGAGCATAAAGCAAATTAATTTGTATTTAAATCTACTTTTAGGCGCTCGCTTTTGTATTAACACATGAAATGAATCCCACAAGTGACGACGCACCACCAATTCTACGCCCACTACCGCCGGCGCTGCAGAAAATCGCTTGCGAGGAGCTAAACGAAGTGAACAGCCGCGTAGCGGACGATGTGCTCGCCCTGCGTCAATGGATACTCAAGCAACCGCATTTGTATGCGCGCACTAATGACCAATTTCTAGTGGGCTTTCTACGTGGCTCCAAGAATAGTTTGGAGAAAGCGAAACAGAAAATCGATCGTTATTACACGCTGAAGGCCGCGTTGCCAGAGGTGTTCAACGAACGGCGACAGGTGGATGATCCGATGGTGATGGAAATTGTGCGACTGGGGTGAGTGGGCAACGCAAATTTTATTATATTTCAAAGCCAAGAAGGCACAACAATAGATAGAGAAGGCAGCTCAGTTTGGTAGATTACTGGATCCCTAAAGCTGCAGTTTGATCGTCGTTAAGTCTAGTAAAAAATGTTGGAAAAGTTACCATCTACTCTACAGTTTGACTTCTTGTTATTTTGTTGCTGTCTCAATAATATTACTAATCTCTTTTAGCTAAAAAAAAAATATATTAATAAACTATCACCCACTTACAGCATCATCTTGCAGATACCGCTGCCCAGCAACTATCATGGTCCCTGCATAACGATAATACGCGCTTGCTCTTACGACACCACAAAGTACAAATTCGCTGATATTATACGCGTCGGTTCGATGTTTGGCGAAATTATGACAATCGAGGATGACAACTCTACCGTTAGTGGTTATATTGAAGTTATGGACATGATTAATGTGAGTGGTCAGCATTTTTTACAATTAAAACCGGATTTGCTGCGTAAATGCGCAACATTCGCTGAGGAGGCAATGCCGATGCGTCAGCGCGGCACACATTTCATCAATGTGCCAGCGCCTTTCGAGAAGGGTTTCAAGACCCTGAGCACATTCTTTCCGGAAAAAATGTTGAGCAGGGTAGTGTGCTTTTTTTGCTCTTTTCTTTTGTTATTATTTTACGCTTATTCATTTCCTCAACTTTCAGATCTCAGTCAACGCCAGTCCGGATGCTTTGTTCGATTTCGTGCCGCGCGAATATTTACCACAAGAGTATGGCGGCGATAATGGCACCATAGAGGACATTGTTGAACGCATGACGGCGAAGTTGTTGCGTTATCGCGATTACTTTTTGCTCGAGCCGAAGTTCGGCACGAACGAGAAGCTGCGCGAGGGCGCGCTTTATACTTATGAGAACTGTTTCGGTTTGGAGGGTTCATTCCGTAAATTAGAGGTTGATTAGTTGAACATTTTGTACCATTTTATAGTTAGTAATGATTTTTTGTACAAAATAACTTTTGTGTAATTAGCGAAAATTGGTGGTTGACAATCTAGTTTAATTTTATTGCAAAACAATTATTTTTTAACTTTTTTTTAGCGTTCTTATTTAAAACTCATGAACATTTTTAAAAGGTTATGGACTGTTAAATTTTAATCAAACCAAATTTTGTTATTAAATTAAAACTTGGGACGAAAATATCACGGTATCTAAAGTAAATTAAATTAATATTTTTTTTTTGTTAAAATTTAAGTAAAAATGTGTAAAATAAAATAATTTTCCAATAACCAAATATTAAAATATTAAATTTTAGCGCTTCGCGTTTACGTAAACTTTATTCTGTCCATGACAAACCTCATTTATTCCACAAAGGAAAATAGTTTCGGGAACTCTGCGAAAACAGATGTTATTTTTTTCTGAGCGGTTAGCATTGCGTACTGTCGTTCGGACGACCAGGGTTCACTTCCTGGTCCGTCCAACATCAGCAGTTATAGAAAAATTTTTTAAATAAAAAAAATAAATCAATTTTTCTTATTACGATCGCCCATCGGAGGAATGCCAACCCCTTCGAGTGTTTTTCTGAAATGAAATAAGCGCTCCTCACCTACAAAGTTTTTCGGAGGCGGCTTAGTATAAACTGTAGGACCCTCCATTTGTTGGGAAAAGCATATGGACGTACACCACAAATTGTAGAAGAAACTCGGCCGAAAATCGCGGTTACAAACAGGAGCTTAAGATACATATTGTGACTACAAATGTAGTCAAAAAACGAGGTCAAATCAGACTAAAAGGCGACTGAAAGAAAGTGTGAAAACACCGAGCAGCCAGCGGTGTTTAATGTCCTGACTAAGCAAGGAAAAATTCAGTTGAAAAATTTTAAATGAATTTGAAACCAAATATAGCAAATACTTCTTCTGCTTTATCAAAGTCGAGTCAACGATAGTACCTCGTTTGTTTTGGAATAATAAACGAAAGCAGTTGCTCCTTCATCAGATCCTTCAATCCGATTTCTAACCGAGCGCGGTAGTAGATAGGAAAAATTGTTATTGTAACCAAGGGAGTGACAGTGCTTGGCGGGGATGAAAATCCGGGTCGTCGTTTTGGTATATGTAAAGACTCTGGTGTCGTAAAGACTATTGGGTTTTAGTCACCTCTTTTGACAGACTTGCCTTATCGTAAGTAAATTCCCGCATAAGAGGATGTGAGTCGAAAATGATTCTGCATGAAATGTTCAGCCCAGGCAACACAGACGTCGTAAAAACGTAAAATACCTTATATAATTGCCGAAGAAAAACTCGCCTCTGCATTCGTTGAGATATCAGTTAACTAGGCTTTGCGATTACTATGAAATTCTTTGTAAGTTTTCGTTGCAGTATCTGCCGATGGAAGCTGAGGAAGAGGAAGCACTTTCATTCCTTCGGAAAGATCAGTTGAATCTTGCTACGCTTGGTATTTCCAATTGGCGTCAGCTGTAATGCCATAAGCGGTGAATAGAAAGAAAGAAGAGGAGGAAGAGGAAGAATAATATATAATTCTTTGGTAGCAGAAAAGTCCGCCAAGAGAGATACTCACAAAGGCTCATACCGCTTGTGCAAAAGGAATATAATGTAGATGCATCTAAATAATTGATTGAAGCAGCACGGAAATAAACCTAAACAGGAGTTCTTGTTGATCATCACTTTATAACTGTAGAGAGTATTTGCAAAAAAATGTAGGTCTAACCTAAACGTAGCAAAAAGATCCAGGAAAATATATTGACTAATTTTTGTTTTTTTTTTTCTGTTGTTCGAACTACTTTACATCCCTCCTTCCTACTTTTTTCTTCTCTTTTCATTGAGATTCACCGCCGTTGCAACCAACCGAGGTACGCATTTGGAGTGCAACGAAAACTTCAGTAGAACCGTGACTCAAAGCCAGTGGCAGCTCAGATTTTCCATACCCTTAAGACGAGCGGCAAAGAATGCCGTAACAATTAGCTCTTAAGGAGTTGAGATCTTGTTCATGTCTGTCCATGTCCGTATGTCTGTCTCTGTCCGTCCGTCTATTTGAACGCATACTTGTGGCTCAGTTTTTAAGTACACATACTTCATCCAGAGCCATGAAAACAAAGTCACTAATAATCATCGAAACCGAAAGACCTATATCATATAGCCCGCCTACAATCGATTTTTTAGGTAGAAGAACCAATAATCAATAATAATCCTAATGTGCAATACAAAAAATTTATATGTTCATAAAATGTATAAAGGCTTCATCATTACAGTGGACAGCACACCTTTCGTATTTCTACTTCACTATAAATCTACTTCTAAGAGCCTATCAGTGCGCCTCCTTAAGCCGACCATTGAATCGGTTTTTCTCTAAGGATTTGAAATTAACTGTCAGCCAAAGGTTATATTATATATTCTTCGTGCATCGTAAATCCATTGAATTCAATTGTTAATCTGTAATCTTAATCCCAATAGCTGTTCGATACACTTTGCTCAGACACAATTAGTTCATCGAAGAGAAAAATATTTCACTATATCAACGATAATTTCTAATCCATTTGGGAGTATTAACACTTATCTCTAATTACTGTTATTATTGGCGAAATATTGCATTTTTATTTTCAAATTGCTTGAGACGACTTCTTATGGCTTTGGTAGTTTTAAAGAGATTAGATAAATTTATTTCTAAACTGATATGGAAAATGCTTACTCATTTGTATGCTGGCACTTTAAAATTTTTAACTGGCACTTTCTAACCGCTAAAGCAATTTTCGGCCGAGCTCCTCCCACTATTAGTGGTGTGCGTCTTGATGTTTTTTTCATATCATAAATACACTCGGAGTGGTAGATCTTCCCTGCTGACAGGCGATCGCAATTGGAAAAATTTACTTTTTTTATAGTTTTAGATTTTGGCTGGCTCAAGGCCAGCTGATTTTGTTCGGCCTTCCCCTCCTACTTAGTATATTTTCGTATTTTATCATGAGGTTATTGGAGCTGATGGCTTGAGACTTTATGTCAAGATCGCTTGTCGTCATCTTTGTCCAACCGTCACGTTTGAAATTCTAGGCCAATGTGGACTCCTTAGGAAAACTTGTCTGAACACCAAGAACATCGTTTGCTCACCTGGATTATTTTATTATTTATTTATTCTATTATGCTTTACACATAGAATTCCGACACTACGAAAGAACCTAGACTCTCCTTCAATTGTCGCGGGCATATCAATATTATTTATTTGGCATCTTTTAGGAAGTTTGGACCACAAGTCTCCCAGTATCATCGATTGGATTACATTGATTTTTTTCGATACTTTTGGCTGCTTCGTAGTCGTCGTCTTACTCTTTGAGTAATACATTTTTCTCATCCTCGTACGCTGCTGGGTATCCCAGTAATAAGTAAGGCTTCTTACTCTGACCGTGCAAAAACTGGCGAAGCTCGATTCCTGAAGTTGTAAAGAATTCCTTTTCGTAAGTGGCTATTCACCATTACTATATCTAAGACAGTGCGAGCTGCTACGACTAGGTTAATAACATATTCCTCACATTTTTTCTCGGCTACTAATTTTTCGAAAGATCCCTTGAAAAGAGGCTCGACACGCTCCAACTGTTCATCGATTTCAAACCGGCCTTAGACGGCATGATAAAGGAACTGCCTATACGCCGCTATGTCTGAATTTAGTATTTCTCCAAAACTTTTACGGTACGTTAAACAATCACAAAAGCTCCGTTATGATTGGGAGCCGTTCGATACCAAACGAGGTTTCTTATGCGTTATCTTCCTTAGAGAAAGTAGTATGAGCCACATCACTGTTGATAGTGATAACTTTAAAGGCGTAGACAATTTAATCAATTTTGGAACCACCATTCATCTAACGTGGAATCACTTTCGCCAACCAGTACTACTTCCGACTGGGCAGGCAGTTAAAAAGTAAAGTCCACCCTCGACGAACAAAGACCCCTAGATGCTCGTCATCTACGTGCTAAAGACGACGCCAACATCTGATGAATTGGCGTTAGGGGTTTTTAAGAGAAAGTTTTTGCCTACGATTTATGGTTCTCTGTGCGTTGGTATCGACGAATGCCACATCCAATGGAACGATGAGCTGTAGGAAATATACGGCGACATTGACATAGTTCAACCAATCAAGGGACAGCGGCTACGCTAGGTAAAGTCAGGTAGCGCGTATGTATAAGAATACTTCAGCTCTGTGCAGTACCCGCCGATGGAAGCAGACGAAGAGGAGGAGCTTCACTTCATTGAAAAGACCAGGTGGTTAAGGATCAGGCTGCACTTGGTATTTCCAATTAGCGCCAAACAGCGAAAGGGAGGAATGAATGGCGCGCTCTCGTTAACTCGGCTATAAATGGAAAAGCGGTGTCTACGCCAGTAAAGTAAAGTAAGTTGCCAGCTTAGCTGGGTGGACTATAATAGTGAGAGTTTTGTCCACCACAACGATTGCCATATCAATGGTGCAACTCACAATGGTTATGCCTTCGGAGATCGCAGTAATCATTCCTATATGACAGTACTCAAGGCTCCTGCAGCACACATGTCTCAATGTATTTACGTATTTTGGGGTAAGTGCGGGCATCAAGAAGAAGGCGCTACCGGAGCTCACTAAATATGGGCTCATGTATTTTTTAATCTAAAAAATTTTTTTATTTTATTTTGCGCACCTGAATTACTTTACGATCATCTCTTCGATACTCTATACTTATCACGATTTACTTATCAACCATTTTTTAATAATGAAGTTCGTGCGAATTGGTGATAAAGGAAACAAGTCTCATTGCTAATCAAAAATAGATTTTGACTCACCAAGAACAGTAAAACTTTCGAGCTGTCTGCGTGTGCTTGTTTAGGGGAAAGGTCGACCAAAGCTTAATAAGATTTAAAGCAAAAAATTGAAAAAATTTATATTATTAATATAGTGAAATAAATAAATAAAAATATGGCAACACTCTCAATACGACCACTTAGTGCGCAACTGCAGGAAGCCGCTATTAAAGAGTTGCACGAAGTACCCGAACGTTTGGCGGCCGATATCGAAGCTCTACGCACATGGATCCAGCAACAGCCGCATTTGCGGGCGCGCGATGACGATCAATTTCTCGTCTCCTTCCTGCGGGGGTGTAAATTCAGTTTGGAGAAGGCGAAGAGTAAGATCGATAGATTCTACGCGCTACGCACCAAATACCCGGAATTCTTCACCATCAAAGATGCGGATGATCAGAAGGTGCGCGAACTATTAAACACCGGGTAAGTACTCTTTTTCGTGTTTAAATCGTAATCAAAAGTTAATAAGGATTTAAAACATTTACGCAGCATGATTGTTTACCTACCAACACCGCTAAATGAACATGGTTCGCGCATTGCCTTGATACGCAGTGGAGTTTACTCGGCTGAGAAGTATACCATCGAGGAAATCGCACGCACAATGTATGGCATACAGGAGATCTCAATGCTCGAGGATGATTATGCCGTGGTTAATGGTATAACAACAATAGTGGATGTGAAACAAGGGACTGCGGCACATTTAATGCAAATGTCACCTTCCTCGCTGAAAAAGATGACCATATTCTCCGAAGAAGCTCTACCGTTTCGCCCCAAGAATACACACTTTATATATATACCAAGTGGTTTCGAGACATTCTTTAACATACTGAAACCAATGCTATCGAAGAAACAGCAGAAGCGGGTAAGAAAGGGGAGATTAAAAGCGAATCTGAGTCAAAGCTTCCCGAGTTTATTAATTTTCTTTTTTTTATGAATTAGCAAAGAACTCTATAAATTCGAAAAATAAGATTTTTAGAAACTTATTCGCTAAGAAGAACTTTCTGTCTCACACATTTCTCTCTAACGTCACCACACTTATACTCTCTCTTTCAATTGCAAGTAGTATTAACAACATACTCTCCTCTCATTTCGCTTTCAGCTCTCTCTACACGGCAACAAATTGGATGGTATTTATGAGCACATCCCACTGAAGTATTTACCCAAAGAGTATGGCGGTGAAAATGGCTCAATTGAAGAGTGTATTGTCGAACTCAATAAGAAACTCGATGAATATCGTGATTACTTCAAGGCGAATGCACAATATGGCACCAATGAAAAGTTGCGGCCGGGAAAGCCGATCGATTTCGACCATCTTTGCGGTGTACAGGGTTCATTTAGAAAATTGGAAGTCGATTGAGTTACTTTAAGCTATGATTTTTGAAATTTTTTCTACATGTATTAGTGAAATGTATGTATGTATGTATGTGTAACAATAAGTACGAGTTTTTATTTCATAAGGGCGGGACTGCGTGGAGTATAAACTTAAGTGTCAAAGATCTTCTTGCAGCCGTTCGTTGTCGCCCTGTGTTACTGGCTTTGCGTCCAATGTTCAAACCAAGAGATTTTTTAAACCAGTATTAGTTTGACGCACACCCAAAATGAAATGAAGTAACCTACACATACGGATTCTTATAAGACGCCTCTAAGCAGTGAGGGATGGCCGCAATAAGACTTTCGTTTTTATAATTTAGGATGTTGGGCTAATGACCCTGGTTACTGTGGTCCCCAAGCGGAAAATACTAGAAATACTATGCCTTTGAATCGATCCCGGCATAGCACACGTAATGTGCGCCCGCCTTAAGCTAACTCTCTCTTTAAGTGCCGTATTAAACTTTAACGGCCGTAATAGTCGGGTGGCTACCGTTGCGTATTAACATTCGAAAGGCCCGAGTTCCCATCCTGGTCTGATCAAAAATCCAAAATTATAAAAAAAAATATATGTATATTTTTAGAGTTGCGGTCGCTCCTTGGCAGGGAATATCAAAACCTCCGAGTGTACTTCTGAAATGAAAATCAAAGCTCCTTATAAAAATCTGTCAGCCGTTCGTGAACGGATGATGATCGCTTCAGCGTCTATTATATATATATACGAGGGGACTAACAAATGTTACGTCAGTTGGTCGGTTTTAAGACGATCGGCTAAAATGGAGACAATAAAACGCAAGATAGCTGAGGATAGGTCTAACAAAATTCCGACACGTATGCAAACAAAAATTAGCCATGTGATTCTCGATTCTCTTCGGGTTCCGGCGTAATTTACAGCCGATACAAATACTCAGTGAAAACCGAATTGCATATGAAACGCTTGCACCATCTTCAAAGACTATATCTAAGTAGTTTCGAGTATTTTAGACCGGACATTTTTCCATAGAAGACGAGCTCCCGAAGGTCGACCACAATTTTCCACTGATGACGTCCCTGTAGCTCTGGTGAAGTCCAAAATTGACACAAGAAATGACTGCTAATGAATTGAGCTTGAATGCCATGGCTGTATCGCAAATATAAGGTAATCATCGGGGATACACGAAGAAATCTATTCGATGGGTCCCACGAGTTTTAAATAGGCCCACAAAGAGGCTCGAGTGCAACCTTAGTAAAATCGTTACTGGGGACGAGTCTTGGTTTTATAAGTACGATCCAAAAACCAAACAGTAGTCCCGATGTAAAATCGTTGCTGCTATTCCAGTGGAAAAGGGTCAGACCGTAACTGCAAAATGGTACACCGAAGAGTGCTTGCCAAAAGTTGGAAAACAGGAAAAAAGGAGAGGCAATCACACACTGCTGAAATAACGAGTAATATTATTGCGATTACCAGGATCGAAGATATACGTCCAGCGCTGTATTTCTCGGATATAGCACCTTGTGATTTCTGGTTATTTCCAAAAAATAAAAAAAAATTAAAAGAAGGGTCTTTAATAGCAACGAGGAGATAATTAATGCGGTTAAAGCTGAACTTGATAAGCTTAAAAAGCCAGATTTTAAAGACTGTTTTCAGAAGTGGATCTTTAGGCTTTAGAAAAGCATTGAAATCAATGGTCATTATGTGGAAAAGATAAAAAGTACACAGATTACGAATAAATTACAAAAAAATTGTTTTCTGGTTTTTCTCGTCAACTTACCGAACTTTTGTTTATCCCCTCGTATATTTAGACTTCAACTCCCAGCAGCAGCACCAGCAATCTTTTCGAAAAAAATTGCTTCTAGTACCTGCCGACTGATTTGAAACAAAATCACTCTTGACACCACAAGCCAGAGTTCACTCTACCTACCATCGTATAATAACGAAACCAGTAATTGTAGCCAATAAAGCTCGCACATTCAGCTGCCAGTTAACCGCACATTAACATTGTAAAATGAAATCTATTGAAACTCTTATCACTTATCGGCCTAATCAATATACTGATATAAAACATAGTAAAACTTGAGCGTAATCTTTTGATAAAATTTTGCATACACCCGACAATGACGCCTGTTTGCGACCACACAGACCTCTTAGTTAGCTTCAAAGTACTGAGCAGACAGTGCAGATCTCGATCTCTTTGCATATGCACACGCTAATTCCACCTCAACTGCATTATGTCATCACCGAAAATTCGTCCCGTCAGCGCGGATTTACAGAAAAGTGCAATCGAAGAGTTGAATGAGGTGCCCGAGCGTATTGGTGCCGACATCGAAGCACTCCGCTCGTGGATCAAACAGCAGCCACATTTGCGCGCACGCGACGATGATCAATTTTTGCTCTCCTTTCTACGCGGCTGCAAATTTAGTTTGGAGAAAGCAAAGAGTAAGATTGATAAATACTATACGCTGCGCACTAAATATCCGGAATTCTTTGGCGCCTTCGATGCGGATGATGCCAGCATAAGAGCGGTAATCAATGCTGGGTAAGTGCATTTCTTCAGTCGTACTAAGTAGTGAGTTAATACCTACAATTCTTCGCTCCTCCTAGGCTACTATTATTGCTACCAAAGCCAGTGAATGAAGATGGACCCCGTATTATACTCGTACGTCAGGGTGCACTACCAGCTGATAAATACACAATTGAGCATTTCGCAAGGGCTTCCAGTTACTTGCAAGAGCTCTTAATACGCGACGATGATTACGCGATGATAAGGGGCATTATATCGATTATTGATGTGGAAAATTGCACACCAGCGCATGTTATGCAGATGACGCCTAGCGTAATGAAGAAATTTTCCATACATGCTGAGGAGGCGGTGCCGTTTCGACCAAAGCAACAACATTTCATACACACGCCCAGTGGCTTTGAAACTATTTTCAATGTTATGCGCGGGCTGATGACCAAGAAACAGCAGGAGAGGGTAAGTTTTCTATGTGAAAACTGGTTTTTATTGTTTTATTGATTGTAAAAAAATAAAAATATTATTTTATGATGTGTGTGTGTGTATGTTTGTAGATATCCGTGCATGCCGACAAGTTGGATAAATTTTACGAGAAAGTTCCATTGCGTTATCTACCCGTGGAATATGGTGGCGATAATGGCACGATAGCGGAGATTATCAGCCATACAAACAAACAGTTGGACGAGAATCGTGAATATTTTAAAGAAAATAAAAATTACGGCACCGATGAAAGTCTACGCTTAGGCAAACCTATCGATTTTGATAATTTATTCGGTGTAGAGGGTTCCTTCCGTAAGTTGGAGGTGGACTAGTGGTAGTGGCAGAAGTAACTAGTAAATGAATGATTATTATTATTATTTTTTTTTTTTGTAATGTATTCTGAAATATTTCTACTTTTTATTAATTTTCGAATTTAAAAAAAAAAAAAAACATAAATTACACCAAAATGTAATGCTGCAAGCGCTGACTAAAACATTAAGGGGGGATATATATATTATATATGTATCAAACAAATTAAAAAGAGATAAAAAAAGTTAAATAAAATTATATTTTTCTTATAATTGATTGATAAATTGCTCAAAGCGGATTCTTATATCTGAATAACAGCTTACACTCGGCATTCAAGAGGCAACTCCGCTTAGGAGCAGACAAAGTGAGTTGACGTCCTCACGTTCATCGAGAGGGCCTAGAAACCAACCAGCTGTGTTGACGTGTTCGAACCAGAAGTAGAGCGGTGTTCGATGAGTGAGTTATAATGGACACGCAAAAAGTTTGTTAATGACCTACGCGGACTCATTCCATGCGATACACATGAGGGATATATAATTGTGCCATATATTAGTCAGCTCTCTTAAGGGTCCACTTTATGCTGATGTTGGACCCTGATGAAGTCATACACAGGAAGATTAGCTCTCTTGATGTTGATAGTATCTCCGTGAATAGCCTGGGACAGCAAGTAATGTGCAGTAGTTCTGTGATGTAAAGTAAAGTACTTCGTTCCTGATGCAACTGGCGATGTTTTGTCTTCCAGCATTTGTTGCAGTTGTAGCAAGAATGATCCCTGTGGAAGTATCATAGTAGTTACTGCTTGCAAAGCATAATAGTGTTCAACTGGGACCACGGATTCCTCGCCACGTGCATGGTATACCGGCGACACCAGTACGCTTCCTGTAATATTTTTCCAGGCGGTATACTTACAAGCTGCCGCGTTAGCCGAGTGGTTAGCATTGCGTACTGACACTCGGAAGACTCGAATTCATATCCCGGTGCCATTAACATCCAAAATTCATGGAAAATTTATTTAAATAAAAAAATAAGTCAAATTTTCTAATTACGGTCGCCACTCGGCAAAATCATCAGCCGTAGGTCCCTCCATTTGCTGGAAAAACATTAAGACGCAAAAACACAAATCGGAGGAGGAGCTCAACCGAAATCGCTTCAGCAGTTACAAGGCGTATATATATATAATTGATATACTTACAGGCTTGTGGCTTCCTTCATCTGCGCTTTGCTAGTCACCGGTCTCTAAAATGTTACGGCGTAGTTTTAGGATGGCCGTTCGATTGACTTATAAGTTGCAAGTTGGTAGAAGGTATTAGCGGCCGGTCATATGAGGAATCTGCACTTCGGTGACAAACACAGTTAAATGCGTAGCGAGGAGTGCAATTATTCCCCAACAATTTTGGATGGATTTTTGGACTTTTTATTACCAGCGTTAACATTTAGATCTATCCGGTACGGATCGCACGGATGTGTGCAATTATCTACCAAATTTCGCATTATTTCATTTGAGTAGCTGCTGCTGCGATAAAGTTTTATATATCGGACTCTTATACAGCATTTGACAGACCGACTTTAATAAAGCTCTTTTCTGTAGAGTCGTAGCGACAAATGTGCTCTGCTCAACACGTAAGATAGCTATTGATTTAGCAATTTGTTTCAGATATTACATCTCTTCTTCTGCGAACTGAACGGTCTTTATCAGTATGACTTCAGACCTGGTAGATCCATTAAAGACCAAATATTCACCAGGTGGAAAGACTGGAAACAGAATCGAAACATACTATTTCTTCGTCGATTTTAAATCGGCCTTTGGGAGCGCGAAAGGATGGACACTGCCTCTACGTTGCTACGTCAGAATTCGATCTCCCCAAGACCTGCGACACTAAATGAGTTTGCAGACAGAGTGAGACATTACAGTACGAGCTGTAAAGATAAATAGAGCTGAGTGACTAATATCCTACTCAAGAACAGTCTATTTTGACACCAGAATAGCTGGTGCGAGGGGTATTTACATACAATTATAATCAAGTTTTTTTGATGGACACTTAGACAGCAGACGAACGAGTTTTATGCACTACGTGAACAAAATTATAATACCCTAATGCAAGCAGAGAGTGGGAGAGAGAGAGAGAGAGAATGCTGTAGGGAAAATCAGTTACACATTGATACGCATTATTTTTTTTTTTTTTTTTGATTTCCAATTGTAATTATCGTAAAAATAAATGAGTTTAGTATAAAGTGAATTGTCTAACGAACGCCATTAGCCAGCATGTGCTCGTAGCAAAAGTCGCTTGTACTTTGCAAATAAATACGATGAGCTCAACGTACAAAGCCATTACAATTGAGTTGGAGTGAAAAGTAGACTGACAACAAATTCAGCCTTCATTTAATGGCGACACCCAATATTCGTCCACTAACGGACCACCTACAGAAGGTGGCCATCAAGGAGTTAAATGAGCGTCCCGAACGATTGGCGGAAGATCTGAAAGCCTTAAAAACCTGGGCCGAAAAGGAGCCACACTTAAATCCACGTCTCGATGATCAGCTGCTGGTTGGATTTTTACGCGGTTGTAAATTTAGTTTGGAAAAGGCGAAATCGAAACTGGATTGGTTCTATACACTGAAAACAAAATATCCAGACTTTTACACAATACCAAATGTTGATGATCCCAGTGTGTTGGAGCGGCTGAGTTATGGGTGAGTTTACGACAGAGTAACAGTGTGGATTTAATAATTAAATTTGAATAGTGTGCTCGATCTCACTGATCTCACTAAACCTATTGGTGGCACAAATGTCAAAAATGGAAATAATGTTCGTAGTGGCCGAGTAGTTAGTAGAGCCATGCTACCATGCTGAGCATGCGTGATCGATTTCCAAAACTTTGAAACAGTTTTTGCGCTTCCGACCACTCTTGCTTGGAAATTTCAAACCATAGAGTGTATTATTGGCGTGAAGAAAAAGCTTCTTATAAAAATCTAAATTTCGCTCGGCGGGGTCTCAGAAAAACCTGTAGTTTACTTCATTTTTTTTTTTTTAATATCAACACGCGTATCAAAAAGGGCGAAAGAGCTCGGCTGAACTCAGTCCAGCCATGCGAAAGCTTCGAAAGCGTTCTTGCCAGTTTTCTTTACGGTTTCGCCCATTTTCTTCAAAATATAATTTTTTCAGCTTCTGAAGCACAAGCAACTCCCCCCGCATCTACGATCCGGATCAAGCTATCGGCTCTCTCCTCTAGAACTTCAACAACGATATTTGTTATAATAGAGAGTACCAACTTATTGGAGCTGTAGCAGGGACTTGGAGAATGTAAAATGTTTTTGGCACATAAAATATATCTTCGGAGGCAGATCAGTAGTAGCTTCACCCATCAATCAGGCGAATGTCCTGTTCTTTTGCGGTAAATACTCTCAAGTGTTACTCACAAGTCGAAAGATCAACTGTAAAGTGGCTTCCTCTGAATGGCTGGTGGAGCAACTATTATTCTCATATCAGAGCTATACTCAGAGTCATATTAATACAGAGTTTATAGAGGTGTCTCATTCATTTCACTTAGCCACTAATCGCGCCACTCTACTTTCAGTTCCGGTTGTCTATTACCCACACCATTGAATGAGAACGGTCCGCGTATAATGTTTGTACGCGCCGGCAATTATCCAGCCGATAAGTATACGCTCAAAGACATCATGGCTGTGTCGCATGCACAACAGGAGCTGTGGATACGTGAAGATGACTACGCGACTGTGAATGGTTTCATTGATATCTTGGATGTGTCGCGTTTGACGACTGCGCATTTTGCCAGCCATACACCGAATGTGATTAGGAAGATGTTAGTTTTCGCTGAGAAAGCAATACCATTGCGCCAGCGGGCTACACATTTCATCAATTTTCCACCAAGCTTCTACACGATCTTCAATATGTTGAAGCCTTTGATGCCGGCGAAACAGCAGGAGCGTGTGAGTATGAAGGAAAGAAAGGCAGGAATAATAAAATGAGAAACTAAAAAAAAAACAAAAAACTTTCAGCTTTATGTACACGACAACAATTTAGAGTCACTCTACACTCATGTTCCACAGAAATATCTACCCAAGGAGTATGGCGGTGAAAATGGTTCGCTCGAGGAAATCACTCAAATTTCAAAACAATTCTTCTTGGATAGACGTGATTATCTTCATGAGGACCTGAAATATCGCAACAACGAGAGCTTGCGTAAGGGCAAACAGCCAGATTATGAAGGTATTTTCGGTGTTGAGGGCTCCTTCCGGAAGTTGGATGTGGACTAGAGCTTTAGAAAAAATTTTTGTTTGGTAAAAAGTAAAAAGAAGATTATATATGATTTTAATTTTGGAGTTACGGGGTAATAAAAATTTGAAATCTTGCAATATTCTCAGTATGTACTAAGTATACTAAGAGGGGTATAGCCCTACTGTTCTTAGCTTGCAGTGTACCCTACTACATTATACTCTTTCATTATGTTAGATACGGCAAATAAGTGGAGGAGATGCAGCGCAATCACTTCAACATAAGTATCCTTGGAGGTCTTATGGCGTTCGCGTAAACGTACACCTATTAAAAAGTTTTACATCGGCATCATGATGCTAGGATGTAGAGTATCTGGTGCTCCGTTGGCCAAATAAAAACTCGTAAATCGGGTTTTCAAACCGTCCGTGATCACTAAATCGTCGCTGCCGTTCCCCTCCTCTGTGTAGCAAAGAACGTGAACAAACAGCTGACAACGGTTTTCCATCCTACTTCCGTACCCGCTCTCTGAGTGCAGTGTAAAGAATCTGGGAAGTTATAAATATGCATATCCAAACGATTTTTGACTCGCTTTCAGAATATGGTGTAGTGAGAAAATCCATTAAAAATCTAAACAAAAAGAGATATCGGGCGGGCTCTTCACAATTTTGTCGAACAAAATAATGTTGCCGACTAAACCCTTACTCATCTTCCTGAAAATTGTGCCAATAAAACACGGCAATCGAAGAGAAGCGCGAGTGGCCAAGGCAGAACTGAGCAACCCTGATTCTACTAAGGTTTGGATACCGTAAAAGGCATAAATGCAAACTATTTCAATCTGACTGCGATATACGTGACATATATATATATATATATATATATATATATGTGTGTGTTCAACATGCCATGACCACCTCTTTCTTTCTCTTAAAACCTTATAGTCTATCCACTGGTTCGAAGAAAGCAAAATTACTCGTTTTCTAATCCGTTTAGATGACCTCCATTACATTCTTGTGTGGGTTGCCCTGTTGCAAGAGTAACAGCGGCAGCAGGAAGCTCGATATATTCTTAAGTGTTTAAGTGATTCAGTTGCTACAAGAGTCTAGATATTTTAACGAATTTAGTTAGCTATCTTACTCGACCCCAATATATCCGATATGCCCATCATTCAATGAGTCTTTCCATGATGCTAACCGCTTAAAACAGTCTTATGTTAAATCTCTCTCTCTTTCGCTCTCGCTCTCTCTCTCGCTCTCTCTCTCTCGCTCTCTCTCTCTCGCCCTCTCTATTTCTCTCTGAAACTAAACTGCGGAAATCTTATTTTTCCTGAGGCTCACTTTGCAGCTTTGGCTGGGTCTTATGCAACGGAACAACTGGACTCTTCGTTTGGTTTGCTGAATCCATAAAGAACGTATTCCTTGCTGAGCATATGATGGTATAGGAAAATACCAACTGAAGGAGGGCCTTAGCTCTACTTCATAATTCCGAATCGTAGAGAAGAGAATACGAGAAGCCCAACTAAAAGTAAGACTAGAGTACATTTTTAACCATGTAACCTCATAGAAAGATCTTACAGTTATAAGTGATAAGACACAACCCGACTTTTATAATTTAAGTGTATTACGTGCTGCATTAATATTAATTCAGTTTACATAGAAATTCAACAAAACTCACATGAGGTAATCTCATTCTACTTAAATCTACAAGTGTAGCCAAACTAATTTATGAAATGTATGAAAATGTTGTGTGCGTTGCGAACCGTTTCCTCTACTCGTATTGATGACACCAGGACTTGTGTTACCATACATAATCCTCTTCGGACTGCTCTGCCTCGCTTACGAACTCTTCTGCGTGATCTTCATAATAACACTCTTCACTTCGGTATAGTTTTGCAGCGCATATTCACCATTCTCACGTCCATGACCAGACATCTTGTAGCCGCCGAAAGGTGCTTGCGCCATCAAGGCGTTGTATGTATTCACCCAAACGGTGCCGGCGCGCAGACCCTGCACAATGTAGTTGGCCTTGTCGATGTCGCGTGTGAAGACAGCCGCCGCCAAGCCGTAATCAGATTTGTTGGCACGTTCAATTACCTCATCTAGAGACTTGAAACGAATGAGCTGTTGCACGGGTCCGAAGATCTCGTCGCGCGCAATTGTCATGTGATCGTGCACATCGGCGAATACAGTGGGCTCCACAAAGTAGCCAGGTAGGTGTGTGGCGCGACTGCCGCCAGCAACCAATTTCGCGCCCTCCTTTTTGCCCTGATCAATCAAGCCAAGAATCCGGTGTAATTGATCTTGATCAATTTGTGGACCCTGCTCGACGTGCAATTCGAAGGGATTGCCCAATGTACGCTTCTTAGCACGCTCAGCGCTACGCTCGACGAATTCATCATAAATTTTGTCCTCAACAAATGTACGTGAACCAGCGCAACAAGTTTGGCCCATATTGAAGAATAGACCAAAGTGTGAGGTTTCTACAGCATAATCCATATCGGTATCGGCTAAAACAATATTGGGACTCTTGCCGCCCAATTCCAAAGTGACGCGTTTCAAGTTACTCTGTCCGGAGGCTTGTTGAATTAGTTTGCCAACCTCAGTGGAGCCGGTGAAGGCGACTTTATCAACATCGTGATGATTAGCCAGAGCCGCACCAGCTTCACCAAAACCAGGCAATACATTCACAACACCCTCTGGGAAACCAGCTTCTTTAATCAGCTGTGCTATGTATAAAGCAGACAAGCTAGTTTGTTCGGCTGGTTTCAACACTATCGTATTTCCAGTGGCTAGCGCTGGTCCCAATTTCCAGGCCATCATGAGTATTGGGAAGTTCCATGGAATAATTTGAGCGCACACACCGACGGGTTCGTGACGTGTATAAGCAAAGTAATCACCATCAACAGGTATGGTCTTGCCGTGATTCTTATCGGCCCAACCGGCGAAGTAACGCAAGTTCTTAACAGCAGCGGGTACATCAACATTATACGCCACGGCATAGGGTTTGCCATTGTCCAAGGTTTCCAAACTCTAAAATGAAATGTGTGGAGTGTACGCATGTATGTAGTTAAAGTGCTTACTGTACTGTAATATACAATAAAAGACTTACGGCCAAATAGACACGATCGCGTTCCATGAGTTCAGCCAACTTATACAAATGTTGGCCACGTTGCGAAGCATCCATGTGACGCCATGGTGAGCCAACTCTGTGTGTGGGTTTAATATATGAGTTTGTGAAATAAACGAATTAAATATTTGTATGTATTTTAGCGGCTTCTAACTTACTTGAAAGCGGTGCGTGCGGCCTGTACGGCGATATCGACATCCTCCTTACCGGCACATTGGATTTCGGCGACGGTTTGCTCAGTGGTGGGATTAATGGAGCCGAAAGTTTTTCCGCTCTTACTTTTGTGCCATTCATTGTTAATAAAAAGCTGGAATGTTACGAAAATAAATCAATAATTTATAGTAAAAAAATTAAAAATAAAGTAATTGGTGATAAAGTAATAATAAAGGGAAATTTTATTGCAAAGGCTAAAGCACCGAACATGAAGCTGGAACTGGAATATTCTAAAAGTCCATAAATCCAACTACAAGATCTGCTGCACAGAAAGACGTCCTCAATGGAGAATACTCATTCACTCCCAAGTTTGCAAATTTTACGTCAAAAAAAAGATTTCTACTCCCCCAAGCGAGCAATATTCCTAGCGAAGGTTTGTTTCCATAGGATCTCGGTAGCCCTTATGGACGAAATTTTTCCAAATTTTTACTTCCCCAAAGAAAGAGCAGCAAATCTCTACCAAAATGCAAACGACCTCGTTGGAAATCGTGTATTCAGTGTTTCAGGTTTGCATAGTGATATGGGTACTCATTGCATCATACCAGAGATGCAGCCTACTGTAGAACTAACAGAAAACAAATGGCACTAGCGGACACTGGAAAGTTAAAGGATGGTTATTCGCTGCGGTTGGTACATTTCGTCGAGGAAACAGCGAATTTGTAACAAAATATGCTGTGATACATGACTGAAACGCATTTTATGACCAGATCAAGATCAAGACAAAAATTTAGTCGAAGATAGGTTAGAAAGATGATATCTGATGCAATTCCAAGATTTATTTAGGAAGAATGATTAATTCTAAATCTCGTCAGGGTATTTACAAATCTGGAGGAATCAAGAGATGATCAAAGATGCTTGTAGTATACTTAAGTCTAGGGAAATCGAAGATAGTAATGGATTTATTGAGAAAAAAATTATTCTTCGCAGCAATCAAGATTTGTTTTTAATATATTTTCAACATCGTCAAGGTAACAAAAGTCACGGGTTGATAGACATAATGGTAGTTTTTAATTTAAACGATTTTTAAAGTCATAAGAGAGATTATTTTGAGAGAGGATCTTTTCGATAAAGCGTATTTTAGACGTGCTTCTCCTCCGATTCGTCGTGTGTATGATGTTCCACCAACAAATGTGAGAGACCAACAGTATTTTGGCCACTGGATCTGTCGTAAAAGGTATCTATTCTATTAGTTATGCGATAATCGAGTTTTTTATGCTGGAACAACATGGATTTTTAACTCCCGCCAAGTAATGTCGCTAACACAATAATCCCCAAAAATAAATTTGGAGAATATCTTTGCGGTTATAAGAATAACCAATGTGTGGAAAAGGATCACCACCAAACGGCTTTTGGATTTTTATGAAGATTTTTCTCTATTTCATGCCAGAAATATAATCGCAGGCGCTGATATTTCGAGAAGCGACCGCAATTTTAATTTGTGTTCTATAATTTTGGTTATTGGTCTTGCTAGAATGCGAGCCTATGTCTTTCTCGTTTCTAATGCAGTTGATTATTCGTTAATTAAATAACTTCCTGGTTGCTGCCGCAGTTTGAACAGGCAGAACTTGTATTTTGAAAATTAAACACTTTTCAGCTTTATGAATTTATTTACGAAAATGTTTGAAACAGATTTACAGTTTACAGGCAACTCGCTTTTTATTTACAACAAAATAAAAGTCACAAAAATTAAAACAGACAACTGAAAATAAATTGCTTAAAATGGTATGCTTTACAATTAATCTTTTTTTTTAGTTTTAATAAATTCTTATTTTTAATAAAAATAAATGCGTGTAGAAAAATCACCAAAGTATGTATAACTTGAAATAACATTTAACATAAAATTTACGCTTTCTTTGAAAAAAAAAACTCTACAAATACTGTTACTCAAATATTAAAACTAGCCCAATAAAAATATTCCCACTTGGCTTCACTAACAGTTTCAAGCGTAAATCATTTCTTAATTGACATATATAATTTTTGACTTGAAAACTGCCTCTGCCTCAAGCCAAATGCTTAAGTTGAAAATACCAGTTTATTTATGTACATGCCGGAGGTAATTTTGGACCACACAATGAGCTCAAAATATGCAAGACAATTCTTTCGTATGATTGTATAATCTTCTGGGTCGAGCTTTCTTGAAAACGTATACCCATAAAACGACCATTGATAATTGTCATCGAACCTTCGCCGCACATAAGAAAAACACCCATTTCCGCTTCGGGACGATTCAACCATCTTGGTGACCAAAATGTCTCAATATTTCCAATTGGCAATGACAATGCGTCAGTGTTATAGCTATCGCTGCGTACCGGAGATGGTTTACATGAAATCAATTGTCCCCTACAGCCGACCGTATCGTAAGGGGTTAAGCCTTCAACCACCATCCCAGGATAACGCGTACCAACCAATCTCATTATATTCGTAACGAATTCTATATCTCCCAATACTTCTTTCATTTCATATGTTTTCGGTAATATATCATCGGGGTTCGTAAGTAAGGGATTCCCAGGATCGTCATTAATGAAACTCCATTTGGCACCCGGTATTGAGTTAAATGTATAGAATTGCTTACGCAATCCAGGCTGTGTATCGGGATTCGCGAATAAATTGATTAATTCTCGTAAATGCGGGAAACGTATATTAAACGGATCACAGTAGCGAAATTCTTCGGTTATCGGTGGAAAGAATGGCACAAAATAATCTTCATGATATTGCACAAAACCAATGCCGGATAGATATTTTTGTATAATTGTAAATTCTATATTACACGACTGCAGCGCCACACAGAATTCCAGCGGCGGAAAATCTGGATGATCCGATATATTGCGACTTAGGTGGGTAAAATGAAAAGCTCGATTTATTTTCATGTGCAGTTTTAGTAAAGTAAGCCGATATAGCGCATTTGTTAGGTTATAGAAATCGATATTAAATATTCCACGGGTTATTATTTGAAGTCTATTCATTAACATGCGTATGATGAAACCGACTGATCGTGTGCTGATCGGCAATAATATTGGCTCGGAAGACATATTTAAAATTGATTCGAAAACTTTCGTAAAAAAAAAATTATAATTTTCTTTTTAATTTAATTATTTAATTTAGAATTATCTTATTTTGTTTTGTCCAACTAATTTAATTTAATTTTATTTATTGTTAACTTCTTTACTTTACTTCTTTGTTTAATTATTGCATAGAGCTTCTCGCCTTTTTTCTGTAAGTTTCAGTAAGATGAAACGGAATATCTACTTCTAATTATCAGTGCTCTTCGGATAAATGAACGGTTTGCCGGTTTCGTTTGCATGTATTTGTTTGGAAAAAAGTATTGCCAATCTAAAGTGCAAAACTTCTATTATTATTTGTTCAATTAATATATTATTTCCGGCTGAATAT